TCGATGAATGGATTTGAGCGCTTTAAGCGATTTATGTTGCTTTGAGAAGTGTCTGTCCCAGACCATAGAGAATAAATTAAAAAGTGAATCCAATTCAAGTAAAAAAATATTTTGCAAGTCTTGATTGCCCGAAATTAAGTATTCTTCTGGGCTATTGTTTTTTTTTATTTTGTTGACATATAATTGTAAATGAGATCATTATTCCTGAGACTAAATGTTAGTTTCTCTTCGAGAACTGGCAAACAACTGAGAAAGCAGCTTCCACAGGATGGTGCCTCAGTCCATGGCTTCTCTACCTTTGTCTTTCATTTGACAAATATATTCTTTCAGTATCGTTTGCATCGCGACGCTGCTCGTACTCAACATTAACTGTCAGAAGTAGCCACTGCTAAGCTTTAAACAGAACCGGTACCATGTTAATTCTAACAACCTCAACGTAACTCTATTGTCTCGATAGTGTATATGGGTTAGGATAATGTAACACTGATGTTGCATGGAGGAATCGTACATCGGACTCTACTCTAAGCAGAGATTTCTTATGATTATGGAAAGGGTGCTGTCGCTTTTATTTACCTGTAGTAACTGTAGTACCTGTCCCTGTCTTATCCCGAACATCGCCATAATGTCGAACTACGGATGTTTCGACATATCGTAGACAATCACATGATAGGTGTTGTTTTGTAGAACGTAGACATGCAATACTTGATAAGAACATGGCCATTGTCGCGATGAAGAAAATAATGTTTTCGGGAATGATGTTGATATTTGCGCAACATTCAAGCATGTGCATAAATGGGATCAAACATATAGAAGTAAGTCTTTTCCATACGCATTACCAAAGAAACCTTTTCGACTTGAGTCGATATGGTTAAAATGGTCGTATACATAATACATAGGCACTGTAAATGTAGGTAATGTTATCACCACAGGGGAATAACCATAAATATGTAATAATAAGCAGACCTGGTACGCGGTTGATGAATCACTCTGTTTCAGATGAACACTTCATGCATTGGCCACGAAAGCCTTTCTCTATCGTAGCAGATCTCTGCTCGCATATCCATTGAAAACCAGTTTCAAGATCCTTACTTCCATATTAATTAGATCTTACACCGCACTATGACATCCGGCATCATGCTATTGCTACTGCGTAAATGAATCAAGATGTATCATTGGGTTAGTGCCTGGATCTGAAATGTTTAGAAATGTCTTCTCTTTCGTATCTTCGTTATTTGTGTTTGATCCGTACCATTCTTATTTATTTTGTAACTTGTTCTTCAGCGCAACTACCTATAACCGACATCTCTCGGCTTTATAATATTATTCTGAACTCTGCATTTGTGTACATTCTTAAAATGCTAAGAGCTAAATTCTAACGAAAGGAAACACCATCGTCGCTGGCAGCAACACAGCTCTAATAAGCCAAATGCAAAAATAAACACTTTCCATTCTGATTATTTCGCCCCGGCGGTTTGCTAATGCTCTGACACCATAGACGTCTTTTCGTCAATTTCGTCTTCATCCCAACCACTTTAGAACATATTTTATCCATCATCCCCTTGACGGCACTTGACTAGACTCTAACTAGCGACACTCGTGCTTTATATGGGAAGGAATGTTTGATCGCATTGAGGATTCTTTGCCTTACCAACAGACCAAAGCGTTCTTTCTTTAAGGTGTCAGTAGGAAAGGGATAATTGCAACGATGGTTCCGACTCGCCAATTTTCCTGCAGTACCTCGTTCACGATAAATCTAAGGTTTATTGTACCACGTGATAGGGTAATGACTTCACTCTGGTGTAGAGCGCTACCTATCGTCAAAGGAAAGCGGCTTCACCACGGGAGGCGCTGATAGCAAAGAAGGATATTATCAGTAGTTTTGCAATTTCAGATAAGAAAACTGAAATTATAACTGCTTATTGATAATAATTATCGAAAACAGATGTATCGTCACAATTCATCAGGAAAATAGATTGTTTAATAGATAAGCCGCATGGTCAAGATGATAATAACTGATGATAACAGTTTTTATTTGTTGGGCGTAGTATGGCGTAAAGAGAGTAATCAGATGTTATGAAAGTGTATCAGATCATAATCCTGTTTCATAATCCTGGTTTCATCGCTATTTGATAGTACTTCATAAACATATATTTTTCGGATATAGTCGGAATCTAACAATGGACTCTGAGGTTTCTTATGAATAGGGAAATGGTCTTGTCGCCACGGCATAAAATGTGGAGGGGGTGTAGTCATCATAGTCCATATTCCGTTTCCGGAGCATAACTTGAAAAACCCTGAAAGTTTTTTCATCTAAACTAAGTACATTTTATAATCAGGGGCTGAAGTAGTGCCTTTTGCTTTTAAGGAATTTAAAAAGAATTATGTTTTTCACTTTCCATGGCAAAACGTTGGACTTTGACTCTGTTCATGGTGTTGTGTTTGCCCGGACAGTATTTCTAAAATAATAAGGTATACTTTCATGAAACTTTGCACACAAACAGCAGGTTGTCATCTGGTGTCTTTTGCTACTTACGGACTTGGACTTAGACTTCATAGGGATATGTTTTTTAGAGCATGTTTTCAAAATCACCGGTTTTCACCGGTTTACGCACACACAATGACCACACTGTAAACCGGTGCTTTCAATTCTTGACATCATTTCAACTATTCGTTCACCTCTGTCTCTTTATGGTTTCATAATGACCCGTGAAGATCTGGGATAGAATAGGTCTTCAGCAACCCATGCTTGCCGTAAAAGGCGACTATGCTTGTCGTAAGAGGCGACTAACGGGATCGGGTGGTCAGGCTCCCTGACCCGATTGATGCATGTCATCGATCTCAATTGCGAGGATTGATGCTCATGATATCAATCACTGGATTGTCTGGTCCAGACTCAATTATGTACAGACCGCCGTCATATAGCTGGAATATTGCTGAATGCGGCGTTAAACAACCAACCAACCAACCAAATCATAATTTTGTATCACTTTATATTGATTATTCATATCTAAATCGAAAACAAAGTTCCCAATCCCAATCCAATGGTATAGTTTTGATACTTTTGTATGCGGACAGAAAGATTAGATAGGAATACTCTCATAAAGATAGATCACGATTGTAGGACTTGCTGTAACAATTAAATGATTAGTGCTAAAGAATGTGTGTGTGTGTGTGGGGGGGGGGGGGGGGGGGGGTTGGGGGGAGGGCGGTGTTTTGTCATCTATTGTATATATATGTACAGACTATTCCTGATATTGCTTGTCCTTGACTTGGTTCCTTGCGCCGCTTTGAAGACTGTTTCAAGTACCACTACCTTTAAGCTTACAGTGTTAAGAAAGATTGACGCAGGTTATATATGTTTATCATAAAAGCCACGCCCTCTGGTGCTGGCAAACAAGGATTCATAATCAGGTCCTCCTTGGGTTCAGCTCATGCTCATATCCTTCAGCGGGCACGACTAAGGGACGCAACTCTGCACAGCTAATAGTGTCGCCTCACTCTTAAACCGCCTCCTCTGAGTTGATGACAGACATGAACTATTTTGTGAGCGCGTTGCAGAGTGATATGATTTTAACATCTATATCAAATAGAATATTGACTCAATCATATTCAATCAACATTTGCTGTTAATATTTTTTCATCATAAAAAACGTATGTTTGAAGAACACAAGGCCAACAAATTACAATCTGTGTATAGCCAATGCTCATTTGTGAGGGAGTTTGATTTAACGCCTCTTTAACAGTCTTCCTGTTACTTGATTCGTGAGGAAAGCCCGATACAGGTCTTAGACGGTTACCACTTAGACGGTGAAACCCACCAGCATGAGTATGGCGCTGACAAACCTAGAAACATAATCAGGGCGAACAGTGATTCGAACCCACGATCATAGGTTCCTGGCGTGCCCAAGGGACGCAACTCAGCTCAGCGAATTGCGGTGCCTTCAACGATTGGGCCACCTGTGCCCCCAATGCTTATAAGGCATACATACATGAAAGATAAATATTATGACAGTATTCTGAATGCATGGTAAAGGTCACTCTGTAAAGAAACAACATATAAGACTCTGGAAACGATTTCGATAGTGAAACGTTTCTCCAAACGTGATTGCCATAATCACCACAGTGTAATGTATATGTGCTTCAGACATGGTAAGGGGGATTCTCATATGGGTTATCGTCTTCTTACTCCCGGAAATTCCGACGTGTAGAAAGTTTCTTATCGGGCAGGTTTGTCGATGACCTGAAGGTTACAAATGTTTATCACATTTATCACAAGTGATCCTCGTGCAACCTCTGAGACTACTCACAGAAATGAAGCAAGGACAAACAAACACAGAGGCAACCAATACGATACAACGAATAAGAAAACCCCAACAGAAACATGAAAGAGATCATATATCAGTTTGGTTTCCCGCACGCAGCTGTGATTTTATCTCCACAACCGTTTACGGGGGCACGGGTGGCCCAGTCGTCTAAGGCGCCGCAATTCGCTGTGCAGAGTTGCGTCGCTTGGGCACGCCAGGAACCTATGATGTTGGGTTCGAATCCCGGTTTGTCAGCACCATACCCGTGCTCGTGGGTTCCACCGAAGTGGTAAACGTCTGATACCGGCATCACTTCGGGCTTTCCTCCCACATTAAGCTGACACGTCGCGATATAACTGGAACTCTGTTAAAAGTGGCGTTGTACCCAATTCATTCATTCACTCACTCACTCACTCACTCACTCACTCACTCACTCACTCACTCACAACCGTATACAACAAACGCCCCCTTCACCGCGACCAGGGAGCGTTACAGACCCAGTCGTTTGGTTGTTGTATTTTGACTGAACGTCAAAAACAACCATCATCGTTGCAGTGGTAGGGACACTTCTGCCCTTTTTTTAACATTCCAACAACAGAGGCCATCGCCGGGGTTTCAGAGATATATATATTTATAGTCGTTCATTCTACACATTTGAATACATACAGATCATTAAATTTTGTTTTTCTGTTTTAGATTGACTCCTCATTCGACCCAGTTGAAGCCAGAAAATGTTTGGAATGGATCAGAGAAATGACAGGCGAAAGTTTCAACACAGATGTCGGCCCCGAGAAATACAAAGTGGTAGAGAACTTCTGGAAAGTTCTTCGCGATGGGATCTTACTCTGCAAGTATGTAATTACATGATGTATAAATATGTGTTTACACGATAGTATATTATAATAATAAAAGCGACAAAACCATTTCCATTTATAAAAGAGTCCAAAAGTCCATGGTACTACTCCGACTATATCATGAGCATGTGTTAATGAATCATCTCACTGATCGCTGAAGAACTCCAACGGTACCACAAAGTCAAAGTCAATCACACGTTATGTATATGACCGACATAGATTATCAACATATTTTAAAACCGCAGAAATCAGAGGTACAAAATGAAAAAGCCCGAGCATAAACCAAATTACGGGATATTCTGGACAAGGTTATCTGTAATTAACAATCTTAACTCTCAATGACAAAATCAGGTACATGTATGTAAGATTAACTCTGCATTAGGGAAGTGAGTTAATAGCGATTCTGCATTAGGTATTATAAAAAGGTATTAATACAAATTTGTACCGATTACCCGTAATGTCAATATTTCTATTCTTGTGGTCAATTCCTCTTGGCAAGTAGGTGCATCTTAAATGTAATCCCTTTTCGGGCCGACCCGTGAAGATTCCGGGGTAGAATTATGTCTTCAGCAACCCATACTTGCCATAAAAGGCGACTATGCTTGTCGTAGAAGGAGACTAACGGGATCGGTTGGTCAGGCTCGCTGACTTGGTTGATGCATGTCATCGATCCCAATTGCGTGGATCGATGCTCATGATATCAATGACTGGATTGTCTGGTCCAGACGTAATTATTTACAGACCGCCGTCATATAGCTGGAATATTGCTGAGTTCGGCGTTAAACAACCAACCAACCAACCTTTTCGGGCCAGGGGGGCATACTTATCCACGCTCAATCTTGAATATGACAACATTGGTTGAATGAACATATTTCGTTATTCCAAGTGATATAAATTTAAAGCGGTCGACATGTATGTGAGTTATAAATATTAACTCAATCATTAACCAATTTCTTGATTTCTTCCAGGGTATTGAATGTAGCCGTGCCTGATCATCTTAAGTGCAACTTCAACTCACCAACGTTCAGACCTACAGGGAATCCACAGTTTCAATCTGCAAGAGAAAGGGAAAGAATTGAACTTTTTAATAGAAAACTGGAGGAATTCGGAGTCTCCCCAGACAACTGTTTCTTAGTGGACTGCCTTTACGAGAGAACCAACCTGTGGCAGGTGGCTGCAAGTATCAGGGCATTAGGAACAGAGGTAGACAATTTATTTTGTCGTGTGTGGTACAGGGAGTTAGGTTTAGGACGTATTGTCCTCGATTACTTTTTCCTTTTAATAAAAAAACCCATTAAACAAATTTCAATGTACCATTATCATGTACCACAAGCCTTTCAGTACCAGGAACGAAAATTCCGATTTCGAAAATTCGAAAATGGAACCGTTCGTAAAACGGCAAAACAATAATGTACATCGTTGCATGGATACAAGTAATTTCATAAGAAATATGTCTTTCCCCTTAAAAGTAATAAAGGTCTATTTTATTCATTTATATAATTATGTGTGTGTTTGTGTTGTGCTAGTCCAGACTAATGCAGAGTTTATAGCGCTAAACCAGTAAGATACCATGCCACAGTTTAACATGGATATCCCACTCAGACACAGTATACTGACAACAAGTACCATCTTTTAGCACGAACGCTCGACCTTCCGCCCGTCTGCCCACGTTCTACCCACTAGACCACGGAGGCGGTCCAAAATTCATGATTTCATCGGAACATTTTACGCATAAAGTCTCTGATGGGCATTGTGAAATTTGAAGAAAACGAAGAAGTGAAACTGTTTTATGGATAACAATTTCTTGATTAACGTTTTGATCTACATCAGGAGAAGATTTCTTCATTATTTCTTGTTCCTTCATCAGGAGCTGAATTTAGGATTCTTCATTTCCTACATAATCTGTGTGCTTCATGAAATTATTTTGCTGTTTCAGTTCGAGTCCCGTCCATCGTTCACCGGCATGCGCTGGTGGCCCCGCAAGGCTGAGGCGAATCCCAGAGTTTTCTCACAAGACGTTCTCAACGCTGGAAATACCATCATCAATCTTCAGTACGGCTCCAACAAGGGTGCCTCCGCCGCAGGCCTGAACTTTGGAAAGAAGAGGATGATCATGAAGGAATGACGACACGGACATCTCATTTGGCGTAGATTTCAGTTATTTCGATTTAGGTGTTTTTCTTTTTACAAAGTGATCTGTTCGTTTAAATGTTGCTCCGGAGTCTGTGGACAGCTTGCAAGCATAATGATAAGGTCATGATGAATATATTGAAATACGTGGCCATGAAAAATCGTTTTCTATGGGGGCTAAACCTTTTGACAAACCTTTTCATCAATTTACTGATTGTCGGTAGTGTCCAAAAAAATTATCAAGTTTACATTGTTTCGTAGGATCGTAAACTCGTACAATAATGACGTCAATTATGACGTCATCGAGGAATAAAGTTTCCTTTTGCCTCGGAGACTGAGCAACTCAGTATGAGGAACTGGTTTCGGTTATTATGGAGCATAGGCCTTTGATGTCTATGCGCAGAGAGTAGGCCTTAATGCCTGACGTGTGACATGGATTTGGTGTTCTAATGAGCACGGCAGCAGAGGACAAAATCTACATGAAGCGCAAACCGTCACTGCCGACATACAAGACCTTCATTTTATACGATTATGATAATAAACATTACCTGGTGTAGATTTTCCTTTTTAATAAGTTCGTTTCCTTATTCCGTCCATCTCACTGCCCCACTTTGCACAGAAACCTTGATTGTTGGCCGAAAACGAGGCTACTTTCGGAATTCCTTGACAACACTGCCAGTCCTATAGTTATAGAAGTGACGTCATCAGCACTTTTTGAAACGTCATGAACAACTCTACCTGCAATCCCAGTTACTGCCTTTGTGTTGCTCACAAGCGGCCTCTTGTACACTTGTCAATATTATTTTGTAATAAATGAAAGTTTATTTATACTTCATGAAAAACATATCTGCTTTATTCTTTTTCACGTGCTCACAGCTTTCGCAGCAAAGAGCTACATTATACAATGTTAGAACAAACAATAGAAACATCCTTGAAATTCCGTAATAAAACGTAGCAAAAATTACAGCATCTATATAATTTATAAAACACAGCATCTCTCAACATCATTAAGACAAGATGCAAATATCAAGATCATTTCTTCATCTACAAACGTTGCTTTGTCCACCCTGGAGGGTAAAGACCTCTATCGGAACATACTTACGCATGTCCCGATCTAGAAGGATCTTGCTCGCAATAAAACTGTCCGCAGGTCAGAAACGTGTTGTCAGCAGACATCATTCCAGAGTTCCTAGCCCATTGCTGAGCCTGACACAATACGTTGTAGGGCGGTGGAGTAGCCTAGTGGTTCCCGGGTTCGATTCCCCACATGGGTACAATGTGAGAAGCCCATTTAAAACCAAACTCACTCACTCACTCACTCACTCACTCACTCACTATAAGTTTTAACTAGTATCACACGGAGTACATTGTGAGTTGTAGCAGTATCACAAGTGGTACATTATGAATTGCAGCAGTATCAGAAGGGGTACATTATGAGTTGTAGCAGTATCACAAGTGGTACATCATAAGTTGTAGCAGTATCACAAGTGGTACATTATAAGTTGTAGCAGTATCACAAGTGGTACATTACAAGTTGTAGCAGTATCACAAGTGGTAAATTATGAGTTGTAGCAGTATCACAAGGGGTACATTATGAGTTGTAGCAGTATCACAAGGGGTACATGATGAGTTGTAGCAGTATCACAAGTGGTACATGATGAGTTGTAGCAGTATCACAAGGGGTACATGATGAGTTGTAGCAGTATCACAAGGGGTACATTATGAGTTGAAGCAGTATCACAAGGGGTACATGATGAGTTGTAGCAGTATCACAAAGGGTACATGATGAGTTGTAGCAGTATCACAAGGGGTAAATTATGAGTTGAAGCAGTATCACAAGGGGTACATGATGAGTTGTAGCAGTATCACAAGGGGTACATGATGAGTTGTAGCAGTATCACAAGGGTCACATGATGAGTTGTAGCAGTATCACAAAGGGTACATTATGAGTTGTAGCAGTATCACACGGGGTACATTATGAGTTGTAGCAGTATCACAAGGGGTACATTATGAGTTGTAGCCGTACCACAAGGGGTACATTATGAGTTGTAGCAGTATCACAAGTGGTACATTATGAGTTGTAGCAGTATCAAAAGGGGTACATGATGAGTTGAAGCAGTATATCAAGGGGTACATGATGAGTTGTAGCAGTATCACAAGGGGTACATTATGAGTTGAAGCAGTATCACAAGGGGTACATGATGAGTTATAGCAGTATCACAAGGGTTACATGATGAGTTGTAGCAGTATCACAAGGGGTACATTATGAGTTGAAGCAGTATCACAAGGGGTACATGATGAGTTGTAGCAGTATCACAAGGGTTACATGATGAGTTGTAGCAGTATCACAAAGGGTACATTATGAGTTGTAGCAGTATCACAAGTGGTACATTATGAGTTGAAGCAGTATCACAAGGGGTACATTATGAGTTGTAGCCGTACCACAAGGGGTACATTATGAGTTGTAGCAGTATCACAAGTGGTACATTATGAGTTGAAGCAGTATCACAAGGGGTACATTATGAGTTGTAGCCGTATCACAAGGGGTACATTATGAGTTGTAGCAGTATCACAAGTGGTACATTATGAGTTGAAGCAGTATCACAAGGGGTACATTATAAGTTGTAGCATTGTAAGTTGATTGTTATAGCTGTTCAATTGAGCTGTAGGCTTGTGTATCAAGAAGAAGAATGCGAAATTATTTTCACAACAGTGATACAGAGAAAGGTACAAGATTTTTATAGAGCATTCCTTGTTACAATGGCATGGGATTGAAATCACATGACATCAAATATGAACATGTAACAATGGTAGGATATTTGAGGGAGTAAGCGGGTAGCAACTATTTTCTAACACATGACAAATTGGGAAATACCAACACAACAGGGAACTACTGTAATTGTTTGTTTTGTTAAGCCAGTTGTTGCACTGCCAACGTGTGATGAAAGGGGATACCATTGTGGCGATTTTAAGCCTTCCAGTCTTTTGCAGTAATTCGATTACCATATTTAATGGTATGTCGACAAGTTCCGATCTGGAACGATATTAATTATGTTCTCGGTCTGACAACTAAATGGAAATGCTGAGATGCAAAATTAATTGTTATGTGTATTTGAAATCACTGTTACATACAACTGATCGGTTATGAGCGATCATTGATTTGTTGTAGTCGTATATGAGCTATTCAAACCTCCCTACACCCTACACACACACAGACACACACACAGACACACACACACACACACACACACACACACACACACACACACACACACACACACACACACACACACACACACACACACACACACACACAAGCAAAGCATAACTATGCTATAAGAGGATACACATAGTGTTTGTGGTATTTGTCTTGGCTTAACTGAACCCATTGACGATGGCAGTTTTGAATTAAATGAGCTACCAAATCAACTGATTATATAACTTACATTTTGAACACAGTTGGTTAATCTGCTTATTATAAAGCACTCTACTCACTCATACCTGGACATATGACGGTTTCCTACTGAGTGTTATTTGTTAAAAGTCAGTATTGTTTGTTTCATCTGAATGGCATCAAATTAGTCACTAAATGATACATGTCAAGGCTAAAGATTTATCTACAGTACAGTGAAAATACTGTAACCTGTCATTAAATTTTATGAAAACCACGAATAATTCCAAGCCGTGTGAGTTAGATTGTTGCACTGGGGCATATACTTGAGGTTATTCGCACTCGTACTTCTGTCGCAAGAAACAATAGAGACAGTTTCAACACAATTATTTTTTACTTCCCACACTGTTGATAACTGGACAAGAACCAGTAGCATGTGAGTATATGTGGAAGGTGTGACCAGTGCAGTGGAAACACCGCACATGGGAGCCTATGGAAACCAAAACCTTGGGTAGATAGGACAGGGTGGTCATGCATGGGAACTAATAGAACATGGGTAGAGAGTACATGGTGGTCATGGTAACTGATAGAGCATGGGAAGATAGGACAGGGTGGCAATGGGAACTGATAGAACATGGGTAGATAGAACAGGGTTGTCATGGTAACTGATAGAACATGGGAAGATAGGAGAGGGTGGCAATGGGAACTGATAGAACATGGGTAGATAGAACAGGGTTGTCATGGGAACTGATAGAACATGGGTAGATAGGACAGGGTGGTCATGCAAGGGAACTAATAGAACATGGGTAGAGAGTACATGGTGGTCATGGTAACTGATAGAACATGGGAAGATAGGACAGGGTGGCAATGGGAACTGATAGAACATGGGTAGATAGAACAGGGTTGTCATGGGAACTGATAGAACATGGGTAGATAGGACAGGGTGGCCACGGGAACTGATAGAACATGGGTAGATAGGACAGGGTTGTCATGGAAACTGATATAACATGGGTAGATAGGACAGGGTGGCCATGGGAACTGATAGAACATGGGTAGATAGGACAGGGTTGTCATGGGAACTGATATAACATGGGTAGACAGGACAGGGTGGTCATGTATGGGAACTGAAAGAATAAGGGTAGATGGGGCAGGGTGGTCATGCATGGGAACTGATAGAACATGGGTAGATAGGACAGGGTGGTCATGTATGGGAAGTGATAGAAAATGGGTACATAGAACAGGGTGGCCATGCATGGGAACTGATATAACATGGGTAGATAGGACAGGGTGGTCATGCATGGTAACTGATAGAACATGGGTAGTTAGAACAGGGTGGTCATGCATGGGAACTGATATAACAAGGGTAGATAGAACAGGGTTGTCATGGTAACTGATAGAACATGGGTAGATAGGACAGGGTGGCCATGGGAACTGATAGAACATAGGTTGATAGGACAGGGCTGTCATGGGAACTGATATAACATGGGTAGATAGGACAGGGTGGCCATGGGAACTGATAGAACATGGGTAGATAGAACAGGGTGGCCATGCATGGGAACTGATAGAACATGGGTACATAGAACAGGGTGGTCAAGCATGGGAACTGATAGAACATGGGTAGATAGAACAGGGTGGTCATGCATCGGAACTTATATAACATGGGTAGACAGAACAGGGTGGTCATGCATGGGAACTGATAGAACATGGGTAGATAGGACAGGGTGGTCATGCATGGGAACTGATAGAACATGGGTACATAGAACAGGGTGGTCATGCATGGGAACTGATATAACATGGGTAGATAGAACAGGGTGGTCATGCATGGGAACTGATATAACATGGGTAGATAGGACAGGGTGGTCATGCATGGGAACTGATAGAACATGGGTAGATAGGACAGGGTGGTCATGCATGGGAACTGATAGAACATGGGTACATAGAACAGGGTGGTCATGCATGGGAACTGATATAACATGGGTAGATAGAACAGGGTGGTCATGCATGGGAACTGATATAACATGTGTACATAGAACAGGGTGGTCATGCATGGGAACTGATATAACATGGGTACATAGAACAGGGTGGTCATGCATGGGAACTGATAGAACATGGGTAGATAGAACAGGGTGGTCATGCATGGGAACTGATAGAACATGGGTAGATAGGACAGGGTGGTCATGCATGGGAACTGATATAACATGGGTAGATAGAACAGGGTTGACATGCATGGGAACTGATATAACATGGATAGATAGGACAGGGTGGTCATGCATGGGAACTGATAGAACATCGGTAGATAGAACAGGGTGGTCATGCATGGGAACTGATATAACATGGGTAGATAGGACAGGGTTGTCATGCATGGGAACTGATATAACATTGGTAGATAGGACAGGGTTGTCATGCATGGGAACTGATGTAACATTGGTAGGTAGGACAGGGTGGCCATGGGA